GTGTCTCTCTCTTTCTTTTTCATTCTCTCATTTTCTCATTCTGATTCTCTTTCTCTCTCTCTCTCTCTCTCTCTCTCTCTCTCTCTCTCTCTCTCTCTATCTATCTTTCCCTCTTTCTTACATACATAATGTACAACTGTCAGTGTTAGTAATATGTCTGTAATGTTCACTGTGCTATGATATAAGTTATATTGGCTCGCGTCCTATATCCTTCTTTATACATAATAATTAAAAAACGACATATTGACAATGCGTATTTTCTCATATGTGTACATGTGTAGTATGTGTATCATCATTGATGTGATGGAAAATATTGTTTCAAAAAATTCTTGAATATAACTAACGACGACATTGTTACGGATGATTCCAGGTGCCTTTGTTTCTATGTACGTGTATATATGTGTGTATGTACTTTTTATATGTATATTTATATATCATCTCTAATATACATGTCTTATCATCCCTTTCCTTTTTTATTTTATTCTTCCTTTCTCTTCCTTTCCTTTTTTTTCCCATAAAAAAGAAAATAGAAATTAGCCGTAATGCAATCGAAACGCAATAATTGTAATATAACCAGTAAAAATATGAATCTGGGGTAAGTATTTTGTGTAAGTATCTGTATGTTTGTGTAACATATTTAAAATTCTATTCTTTTTCTTTCTTTCTTTCTCTTATACTCACATATACATTCTTTCTTTATCTCTCTCTCTCTCTCTCTCTCTCTCTCTCTCTCGTTCTCTCTCTCTCCCTCTCTTTCTCTCTCTCTCCCTCTCTTTCTCTCTCTCTCTCTCTCTCTCTTTCCCTCTATCGCACGATTTCTGTAGAATTGTAGAATCATTGAAAAAGAAAAAAATAAAGAGAGAGGAAAAAAAGGAGAAAAAGAAGAAGAAGAAATAATAATAATAAAAATAAGAAAAAAGTTCCCTCGGCCGAAAGCGCAAAGTTCATGGACGTGATGAAACGCCGACGTTTTAACCCCACCCCAAGTACCCACTCCCACTCTACCTATCGTGTCAAGTCTAAACGAGCAGGACGAACTTTGACCTATCGGCAGCTCAGCTCCCCAGAGTCGTTCGATTCGAATACATATATATATGTATGTATGCATGCATACATACATACTGAGAGATACATAGGTATATCGTTTTGTAGGCGGGATCAAACTCACTCATTCGCTCATTCACCTACTCACTCAATCTCTCTCTCTCTCTCTCTCTCTCTCTCTCTCTCTCTCTCTCTCTCTCTCTCTCTCTCTCTCTCTCTCTCTCTCTCTCACTCTCTCCGTTCGTTTAATGCGCTATTACGATCACCATGACGAAGAATTAGCATGTCGCTCGATCTCTTTTTCCATGTCCTTTATTTTTCGTTTATATTCATTTTTCTTTGTATTCATTTCAGTAAATAACAATGTAAAATACAATCGAAATCTCAACGCAAGCGATTACGTAAATAGAATTTCTCAAAATTTCAATATTTCTCTCTCGACGATGTCAATGTCATAGATGTTCCATACACAAAGAAGCGGGAATTTCGAATAAGCGTAAGACGAAATAGAGAAAGAACAGAGTAACAAAAGTGAAATAAAACCTTTGTTATCGATGATTGACGAACGCGCAATCGAACGTGAAACAATGCGCCGAAGAAACTTCTATTTTAAATCAGCACCAAAAGTAGAAATTTTTCCATATTCTCCTTTTTTCTCTTTTTTTTTTTTTTTTTTTTTTTTTTTTTTAGATCTTTCTTTCTCTTCATCGAAAGTTGTTTAACGATTCAGTTTAGATAAAAAAAGTTAAAGGGATAAGGAAATTCGAGGACGAGGCGACTTTTTTCTTAGACAAATTTTGCAAAAAAAAAAAAAGAAGAAAAAAAAAAGAAAAAGAAAACAAATAAGACGATAAAAATAAAAGAACTCGCGTCAAAATTCAGATATGTACAACATGTATAAATATATATATACGTATATAAATATAAATATATATACATATATAAATATATATATATATATATATATATATATATATATATACATATATAAATATAAATATATATACATATATAAATATATATATATATATACACATATATAAATATATATATATATATACACATATATAAATATATATATACACATATATACATTTATATATTAATTTATTTATATTTATATATAAATTTTTGTTTATGTTCTTTTTTATTCGTAAAAGCACATTAAAAAGATCTGAGCGAGTGGTAGACGAATCGATATTTAAAATTACGATCTCTCTCTCTCTCTCTCTCTCTCTCTCTTTCTCTCTTTCGAGGTCGTCGATGTTTTTGCTTTTTTCATAATCGTCCCCAGCTGTACGAGAAAAGAGCTCCAGTATAAGGGAAAGGGAACGCAAGAAATCACGAATAGTAGTACAAAAATAGGAACAAATATAACGAGGAACGTATACGATATAACGCGCAAGGAACTTCATGCAATAATGATTTGCGTAATATATATATGTGTGTGTGTGTGTGTGTGTGCACGCGCGCACTTGTGTATGTATGATGGGGTGGGTGGGGGCGGAGGGTCGTTTATGTATGCTCGCGCGTGTTCATGAAGGTGTGTGTGTGCATCAACATCAAATACATACATACATACATACATACATACATACATACATACATACATACATACATACATACATACATACATACATACATACATACATACATACATACATACATACATACATACATACATACATGATACATACACGACATACATACAACATACATACATCACATACTTACATACGTACATGTACGTACACATGTACGCACTTACATACAAACATACATATATACATACGCGATTGAATGTTTAAAAAAAAAAGTCGATTCACTATGGTACCCCGTCTTATTGTTAAAAGTTATCGTCCATCTTTCTTTCACATATTTCCTTTTTTTCTTTTCTTTTTATTTCGACGAAAAAACCGTAATAAAATACGATATTGTCTACAAATTTCATCATACTACATCCCATCATACTAATCCTCTTATTATAAAATATGATTGAACGCGTATGTACGTAATTGTGAAATTAAAATAAAATAAAATAAAAGAAAAGAAAAGAAAAGAAAAGAAAAGAAAGAAATACGATTTTCATAACAGATTTTATGAAAACTGAAGGTTCTTTCGTAGCTTTTTTTTCTCGACATTGATTGTTCAATATCATTCTTATCAAACAAAGAAAAAAAAGAAAAAAGTCTATAAACTTTACAATTATGTTACATCTTAATATCGGATGAACCTTTGGATGGAGGTTTCTCTTAATTTTTAGCACGTAAAATGCTATCTGTTTCTGTTTCTCTCTTACTCTTTCGTTCGTACAGAAGAAACATGACACATACACACATACACGCGCGCACCGTCTCTCTTTTCTTTTCTCATAATTTTTTTCCCTTTCTGTCGCTCGCGCGCGCACGATTAATTAAATAACGATGATAAAATAAAGAATAAAACTCTACAAAGAGCCCACGGGACAGTTAGGGTCTGTGCGTTGGTGATCGACCGGGCTCCACGCTTAAAAAATTTCTTCAGTCGACAATGATTTTCTCCCTCTCTCTCTCTCTCTCTCTCTCTGTCGCTCTCTTTCCTTTTTTTTCTAAACATTATCCACACTCGCACAAACATTTGTCAAAAGAATCACACAAAATTCAATCAATCAATCAATCAATCAACCAATCAATCAATCAATCAATCCTTTCCTTTCTCTCTCTCTCTCTCTCTCTCTCTCTCTCTCTCTCTCTTTCTCTCTTTCTCTCTCGCGCGCATGCTCGTTCTCGTAAACTCGCATACGCTTGCACAGTTACGTACTTACGCTATATTTTTATCTCTTACAATAACGTTTTTTTTTTATATTCATTTACTCTATTTTTAATTATATCAATACTGTTGACGGATAGAGATTCATTCACAGCTCGCGATCAGAGCGGCCTTATCGTCTCTGTCGCGCGTGGCGCGTTTTGTATTATATATATATTCACTTTTTCATATTTTCCCCAATTTTCCATTCTACATATCTTTTTCTTTATCTTCCATCAGGACTTTGCTCAGACCCCGCCCAGTTTAACCCCATCTCCCCTTCTCTCAATAGAAAAAAAAAAGAAAAAAAAAAGAGAAAAAAAAAGAATAACAACACACCCACACATACCCACCACGCACACATGCGCGCACAAAAACACACACACATATACACACACACACGTTTTCCCAATCTTCTTAGCTCATTTTTATTCGACATCATCTTCTTCGTTCCTTTTCTTCCACTTCTTTTTTTCTCTTCTTTTTCTTCTTCGTGTTCACATAACAACGTTATAGTTATTGTTTTTGTTTTTTTTTTTCTTTATTTTATCACACGCTAAATCGACGAGTCTCTCGCGAGAAAAATTGCGAGGCTCGTTCAACGTTTAACTAGCAACACACACGCGCTTGCACGGTGTCCCAAAGAACGTCGCACATCGATCCGCGTTGAAAAAAGGTAGCCATCTTTCTTTCTGGCACACCAGGTTCCTTCTTTATCTTTCTTTTTCTCTTGGATTTCCTTAGGTCGCGGATCACCGAGAACACCGTGTGTTACCTCCCCGCCGATCGAGGGATGGAAAGAAGTTTTTTTATTTTTACTTTGTTTTTTTTTCCTTCGAAATCAAAATACAAGGAGAGAGAAAAAGATATTCGAATGAACAGGAGCATCGTTGGCTGCCGCAGCAAGAGAAGAGACGCGGTTCACGATCGAAGAAAGAGAAGATTCGAATGAATATCTGCGGTTTTGTTGACGCGCCGAGCCTTACTCTCTCCGTCTTTCTCACTCACGTACAAATCATCATCATCATCATCATCATCATCATCATCATCATCATCATCATCATAATCATCATTATCATTATCATCATTATCACTATCATTATCATCAACAACATCATAATCATCATCATTATCATTATCATGATCATCATCATCATCATCATCATCATCATCATCATCATCATCATCATCATCATCATCATCATCATCATCATCATTATCATTATCATTATCATCATCATCATTATAATCATAATCATAATCATAATCATAATTATAATCATCATCACCACCACACATGCTACAAACAATCATACAGATTTTTCTCGCCGGACGCGCATAAAAGTTCTCTCGTCATTATCGAGACGAGCTAACGCGTGCGAGAGTCGAACAACGACGACGACGATGGAGAAGGAGGAGGAGTAGAAGAGACACCGCAGATAAACGCTTAACGTATAAACACATACATACATATATATATTAAACGCGCATATATGTATATATGTATGCAGGCGTATATCACTTGTGACCGCGCTGTGCGAGGAAATACTCGATCTGCTGCAGACAGAGCAACTGCTGCACCAAGCTCTGCAGCGGGTCCTGGCTCTGGGATTGTTGAGTTTGCTGTCCCTGTTGTAGCGGCTGCGTCAAGCCTCCACCAGTAGACTGAGCAGACGGTGGCAGCATCGTGCCCGGAGCCGACTGCTCGGCCAACAATTGTCGCTGAAGTTGTTGGGCCTGGTAATGAGCCACCGCAACCAAATCGGAGGATTCCATCCCCATAGAGGCGGCTGCAGCGGCGGCAGCACTGGCTGCCGCGGCTACATGGCCCAAACGCGGATGATGGGGATGATGATGCTGCTGATGCTCCGGATGATGATGGCTCGGTGGTATGCCAGTTGCCTGACAAGAGAATGGAACGCTGCCAAAGGGTACGCCAACGTGCGACAACCTGCCGGCCGAAGAAGAGCCAGACGTGCAGCCAGACGTGCAGCCGGTAGCGCAGCCAGGCGTACAGCCCGTGCCGCAACCGGACGTGCCAAGATAGCCGGTGGGGAGGTTCGGATTCTCGCCCCGCTAGGGAGCCACGTTTTTGGGCTTGCGCCCCCGTCGCCCTCTGGTGGGAGGGCGCGGGGACTCCTGGCCTCACTGGCTCACCGCGGGGCTCTTCTTGTCTTGCTGCTGTTGACTGCCATCCTGCGAACCCGCGACACCCGAAGATCCGCCTCCCTGCGTACCCTGGACGCCCTGTAACACGTCGCACACCAGATGCTCCGTTATAACTTCCGTTCCTCTACAAACCTCACGGTTTTCTGATGTGTTCTTCGACCGCCTCTCGCCTATAGGAGCGCGGGCAGCCGCTCTTTAGCATCTCTAAATCGGAGTTAAGAAGACGGTTCTCTGTAGATACCGAATATTCGATTCTTTCTTTTTAAAGTTTAATAGAGGTTATTACCTGACTACCAGGTCCACCTTGCGGAGGTCCGGGACCAGGGCCACGATCTGGTGGCCAAGAGTTACCCGGTGTTGGCTCTGAATGGAATTGATGAGGATGCGGAGGCGGGCCACCCGTCGTGTCGTGACTATGTGGGTCTAAGCTATTCGCCGCATCATACTGCGTGTTCTCGAGCCTTGTGATCAACCGTTCGTCCTCGTCACCGAACTCGCCGCCCATCAGAGATGGCTCTCCTACGACCATCACGTCCTACAAAAAAAAAGAAAAAATATATTAAATAACTTTAAAATTCAGAGCCTAAGTCTGGATTCAACGAAATCCGATGATTCATTGTCAAGTGCGTACACTTGCCTGCGACGCTAGAGAAAAATTCGGCCCTGGTGACCTCTTTTTACTAGGCGCAGGAGGAGCGTTGTTTCCCGGCCCAGAGGTACTGCCCTTTCGCTTTCTTCTTTTACTCGTTGGCCTCTGTGATTCTAAAAAAAAAAAGATTAACAACGAATGAATATCGCGAGTCAACGTTTCATCGTTAGCCCGATGTAGCACTCTAAGGGCCACGTACGGAACACACTGATAAAACCAAGTTCGCTACCCAGCTGTGGACCTTTCTTTTCGTAATCAAAGGTCTCTTACACATACAAGCACGCCATGCATCGATCGACAGACGATACACTCTTTCTCAAGCAATCTACGTATATATATATATTATATATAATCATATATATATATATAAATATATATATATACATACTCCTTCTTACGATCTTTACAGAGAAACACGCTAGATATAGAATTGTTCGCGCGCGAAACCGCCTACTTACTTCCACGGTTACGTCGACCTTGGTTGGAATGGCCAATAGTCAGGGAAATAGGAAATGTCCAGATGAAAGTGAATAGATAAGAAGATCAAAATCGAAACGAATATACGATATATATACGATATATATATATGTATATTCTTTATAAGGTAATGGATGATATATTTGGAATAACCAAGTAAACGGGAAAAGTCGACGTTATGTCCTTGGAAAGAAGCATCGAGAAAATATAATCAATCATTAAGAATTGATAAATACGAATTAATCTCGTTTTAGACTGATCCGTTTGTTCGGGCTCCACTGGCTGGTGCTTCTCATGTAAAGCAACTGTTCGTCTACCTCTCTTACCCGGCGGGGCAACCATCCTCTGCCATTTCTGGAACAAGGTCGTCTTCAGGCAATCCCTTGGTGATAACGCGTACGCCTTGTGCCTCGACATTAGTTCTTGCATCGGTTCCAAAATGACACATAACTGTAAAGAAAGGAAACAAAAAATAAAAAAAAAAAAATAAAAAAGACATTTAATACAACGAATATACTTATTTAACAACATTAATAAGTTACATTTCATAAGTTACAGAGATGCGAATAACACCGAAGAGGAGTTTCGAGAAACAAATACGTTCAGATACGTACATACAAACGCGCGCGCGCACGTTCGTTCACGGTGAAAGCGCTTCCGTGCGACTAAAGAAGAAGGTAGATATAACAAACATATATCTTGTAACCCGGATATATACAACGAAAGAGAGAGAGAGAGAGAGAGAGAGAGAGAGAGAGAGAGAGAGAGAGAGAGAGAGAGAGAGAGAGAAACTTTCACGAATGGAATCCATTCCCCTTTGGTGATATTACTATTTCTTTCGATTATCAATCATTCCATAAAAGTTATTATGTTTGGAAACTTACCCTGAGATAATTCAGAGTAGAATTGGTGATACCCTGTCTAGTGATGTTCTTACTAAGCTGTTCTAGTACCGTAGGATCTTGCTGCATGCCTACAACCGACCTTGGTACCAATTCTCGGTGTGTTCTTACTGACATATGCCACGACTTTATCCTCATAAGGTCGTCAAAAGTGAACTCCAATATTAACCTACCCTCTGTACACACCTAAAACGGAAACATCGGCAAAATTAGTTTCATGCTCGTTTAAACGATACAGTTTGCCTAACAGATTTCTCGTCTGATTTTAGGCAATCGCAAGAATAAAGAAAGAGGATAGATAGACAGAAAGAGAGAAAGAAAAAGAAAGTGTGAGATCAGACGAAACTCACCTTCGTAAACATTGGCTTGCCGTGATGCGTGACCATGACGCAGTGATCACAGTCTAGCGTTATACTAGTATTGTGAAACGACTCCTTCGGGTGCTTCATGTTGTAGTAAAGTTCCGTCACTCCACCTTCGAATATCGAACGGAAGTACCTAGGAATTAGCGTCCTTCCTATCGCTGAAAGGATAAGCGTGCTATTAGTCGACCATCTCGTAGAAAGCAACGGGCCGAACTGGTTGATATATGGTTGTATATTTTGTATGTATATGTTTACATGTACGCGATAAGAAAGGGAGAGAGAAAGAGAGAAAGAGAGAAAGAGAAAGAGAAAGAGAAAGAGAAAGAGAAAGAGAAAGAGAAAGAGAAAGAGAAAAGAGAAAGAGAAAGAGAAAGAGAAAGAGAAAGAGAAAGAGAAAGAGAAAGAGAAAGAGAAAGAGAAAGAGAAAGAGAAAGAGAAAGAGAAAGAGAAAGAGAAAGAGAAAGAGAAAGAGAAAGAGAAAGAGAAAGAGAAAGAGAAAGAGAAAGAGAAAGAGAGAGAAAGAGAGAGAGAGAGAGAGAAAGAAAAAGAGAAAGAGAAAGAGAGAGAAAGAGAGATTTAAGGCCCACGACAAACGCCAAGTCGATCTTTCGGTGCGAGATAATTCGCATCGAGGCAGATGGTACCTCCTCCTGTCGTTCGCGCGAGCTTGGACGATAGCGGCGAGCAACGTGTAATCACCTTGTCGCCATACATCCTCCTGCAGTAGAACGTCTACTAAGAGAGAGAGAGAGAGAGAGAAAGAGAGAGAGAGAGAGAGAGAGAACACGAGCGAACACTAGGGTAGAGACATTAAAAGTGGCACCTACTATAAAATTGCTCCGCGGTGGCGAGTTATTATTTAAAATAAATGTACGACCCGGCAAACGTTACCATCATTCATCTTTCCATTCATCTTGAACGTTTGTCAAGAAGGCCAAGGTATGAAATTTTAATGATTGTTCTATTTGAGATCGTATTTATTTAATATTTTGTTCAATAATGTCGATGTCGTATTTAATATTACGTAATTAATTTAGATTTATCGTACGACTTACGATTTAATATGATCTTATCATTAATTAAAACATTTAAATGTATAATCGTAACAAGCGTGTTATGAGTGCGTGTGTGTTTCTTTTTTTTTTTTTTTATTGACGTTTAAATATTCAATTATACTAACTGTATCTCTTCGGTCCATCCTCCAGACAGAAGGTGAGTGTGAGCGTAGCATCGTCCTCGAAGAATTCTGTCGCGAACGAGTCCCACCATAGATTGTCGCTATCCTGGAACAACAACAACAAAAACAACGATAATAATAATGATAATAATAATAATAATAATAATAATAATAATAATAATAATAATAATAATTACAACAACAACAACTAAGTTGAAGAAGTCTTTTTAACATCTAAAAAGAATAAGAAAAATAATAAAGAGAAAGGGGAGGTAGCAGAAGGGAAAAGGTAAAAAGGTCGGACAGGTTCGTTTACAGTACAGCAATGACAATAATATCGCGACGATTTTTCCTGTGGGACTTGATTCGCAAACCGGAAAAAAAAATACAAAAAAATCCGAAAAAAATTCGAAGAGAAGGAAAAAGGAAAGAAAGAAAAAAATATACAAAAAAGGGGGGGAGCGGGTAAAAAAGAAAGAAAGGAAAAGAAAATAAGGGAAAAACGAGGAAGAAAAAGTGAAAAAGGAAGATAGAAGAACGAAGCGTGGAAAAGGGACAGAGGAATGGGATTGAAGAGAAGAGAGGGTCGAACGAAGGACGATAAGAAGGTGGAGACAGGGTAGTGGGGAACGTCTGTATGCGGCGCTGAATAACGCATGACTGTCTGGCTTGAAATTATAGCATTTCGTCCTCCCACCCCCACCCATTCCTTTCTCACTCTTTATCTCTCTGTCTCTGTCTCTGTCTCTCCGTCTCCCTTTTCCTTTTCCTCCCTCTTTCTTTGCCCTCTCTCTCTCTCTCTCTCTCTCTCTCTTTCTCTCTCTTTCTCTTTTTTAGTAAAAGAAAGGACTCTGTTCACTGTGCTTTCATTCAATTATACATCTCGCCTGTCCCCACCCTCTTATTATTATTTTTCCACGCGTGGGATGTCTTTTTCCGTGACGTTATCGAGTAAAGTTTTATCTTCCTGGGTCCGCATCAACTAAGCCGTGTTCACTGTGAACGATATTGAGATTCACGAAGAAACGAGATTCCTCTCACTTCGATGGTGGATCACTCTTCGTTGTGGATCGAAACACGGACTTTCGTCTTTTTATCGCGAATCACGCGTTTCGAACGTGCTCGATTCTTTCTATCCCGTTTCTCGTGCTTGCAACCAGAGAGAGAGAGAGAAAGAGAGAGAGAGAAAGAGAGAGAAAGAGAGAGAGAGAGAGAGAGAGAACGCGAGGGTGGAAATTTTAGCAAGAACGTCGTTGCCCGGGCAACTAGCAGCACGGCGAAGCCCAGAGACGAGGCGGAAGGAAGAAGATACGACACGATGCTGGATCCGTGAAGCTCGAAATTACGAAAGATATCGCAACCGATCGATCCACCGGCAAGCAGCAAACTTGTTTCACCAAACTCCAACTACTGTTACACTGGCACGTCTATCTATACCAATTTTGACACGTTTCATTTATTTCATAATTTTATTACGATTTTTATATTAGGAAATTGAGCCTGAGAGTTAACTTTTTTCTCGTCTTTTTTTTTACATATACATGTCTATATGAAAAAAAAAAAAAAATATATATATATATATATATATATATATATATATATACGAAAAAAAGTATAAAAGTGACTTTGAATCGCGAAAAGAGAAAAGGGATACTTTTCTCAAAAACAGACAAACGAGGAAGAAAGATAGAATGAGTAGTGTCAAATTCGAAAGAGGACAATCGCTTTTCCGTTTCATCGTCCATCCCGCGTCATATGCGCGGGTGTATATACGTGTGTCTACGTGTCAGTACGTGTGTACTCGCGCGAACATGAAGATTTATTTCGGACGTAAGCTGCCGGCCCGTGCCAAATCAAGCAAACTGTTGCCACTCCAGCACAAATTGATATTTCTGGCAAACGCGTCGCGAGTCCTTTACGGAGTCCAAGAAAATGGAAGAAAAAGAAGAAAAAAAAGAAAAAGAGAAAAAGAGAGAGAGAGAGAGAGAGAAAGACTGAGGATGAACTTTGGAATGCTTATTGAAATGGACAAAGTGAACGAGATTATGCTCGACAAATAAGCGACATTGAAGTAACATCGCAAGTCACAAACGGCTCGGGGTACAGAAAAAAAGATATATATATATATGTGTGTGTGTGTCTGTGTGTGCGTCCCCTCATGGAAATTCGAACGTATCCGATTTTTTTTCTGTTTTCTTTTTTTCTTCAGGATTTCTTCCAAGATCGCACTTGAAGGATTCTCTCTATCGATAGGTGAGGTAAATATATGCCTCGTTCGTTTGATCATTTTTGATATTTTCGAGGTAACTCGGCCAATGTGGATGAGGCATGTAACAGACTATTCTTGCCTCGATCGGACATTAAATTTCTACACACATACATATGTTCTACGTATATTCGTGTCTACCAACCGCAACGATGTTTCGGAACCGGCGATCGATACATTTTCGACTTCGCTTCTAGCAACGTGTGCCTAGATTTGTTCCCTGGATTTTATTGCGTTCTCTCTCTCTCCTTTCTCTCTCTCTCTCTCTCTCTCTCATAATCTTTTTTTTCTCTCCCTCTCTCAATCTTTTTCTCTCTCTTTCTCGCTCTCTCATAATCTCTCTCTCTTTCTCGCTCTCTCATAATCTCTCTCTCTTTCTCGCTCTCTCATAATCTCTCTCTCTCTCTCTCTCTCATAATCTTTCTCTCTCTCTTTGTTCTCTCCGTCGATAATATTTCCCGTACATTATAAAATCGAATATTAATTTTATTTAGGTAAAACTTTTTCAAGTCTACTAATAGCGAACCATAAATAATAATTTATAACGTATGAGAATATAAACCTAAAAAATTTAGTAATGAATAAATCCAAAGAGACGATACAGTCATGTTTTTTTCTTCATCACTCATCATCCAATCAACCACCCACTCACCACCCCCCTCCACCCCGATGGCCAGTTATTTTCCTTTTTCTTGTAGAAATAATGATGATAAAGAACAAAAAGAAAGAAAGGAAGAAAGAAAACGAAAAAAGAGGGTAACAAAAAAGAACTAGCTAAAAAAAAAAGGGGAAAAAAGATACAGGCGGAAAAAAAAAGGAAAAAATGAAAAGAAAGAAAAAGGAACAAACCAGCGACACGTTGCGCACGGTAGCAATTAAAGAGGAGGTACTGGGCAAAGGTTCCGGACCGTTATACCGACGATAAATCCGTGCCCGAACGGGCCTGCTAATTTTTATGATTTTCCGACAAAGCAACGAAAAATTCAAGTTCCGGGCTCTTATTAGCCGACACAAGGGAGAGCGAGAGAGAAAGTAAGAGAGAGAGAGAGAGAGAGAGAGAGAGAGAGAGAGAGAGAGAGAGAGAGAGAGAGAGAGAGAGAGAGAGAGAGAGAGAGAGAGAGAGAGAGAGAGAGAGAGAGAGAGAGAGAGAGAGAGAGAGAGAGACAGAACGAAGAGAGTAGCTATAGGAGAGGGAGAGTTGAGGGAGATGGTGGTCGAATTCAATTTGTCGAGAGATCGAGGTGGCCTCCGGTGGAAAAAAATCGGCCCGTCGTTGCGTCGTAATAAGCGTGTGCGCGCGCGCACCTACCACTCCCTCTCTCTCTCTTTCTAGCACCAATCTCTATCCAACCATTCGTTGCTGCTGTATCCTTCTCTTTCTTTCTTTTTCTCTTTCTCTCTCTTTCTTTCTGTTTCTCTCTCTCTCTCTCTCTCTCTCTGTCTTTTTCCTTTTCTGTTTCGAACGCTTGTACGCCGACGACCAAAGAGCGCGGAAAAAAATGTCCGGCATCGACTCTCCGAATTCCAGTCTGATTCCGGCATTCCGATGAGACTGAAAGAATCCGGTATAATTCCAGTGTTACCAGGTACATAGGTACCCCTCGAACGGACGCCTTCGACGTAGACCACCCTATCTTAAAGCTGCCACTCGCGACGAATACATTTCTTTTCATCGATTCGCTTCCACCGTTCAACCCACCCCTTTTCCATCTCTCTCTCTCTCTCTCTCTCTCTCTCTCTCTCTCTCTCTTTTCTCTTTCTCTCCCTCTTCTTTCTTTTCCTTCTCTCTTTCGAAATTCGAAATAAGACAAAACTATTGCAATCCCTTGAAGTACACACGTTTGCACGCATGCACGTACGCATATATGTACGCATGTATGTATATTTATATATGCATCTATATATGTATGTATGCACGTTACACGTATACAGTGAAGACACTCGAAACGATTCTTTTTTCTTTTTTCTTCCTTAGCCGTTCTCGTTCTTAGGGCCCCTTCCTTCTTTAATATCTATCCAATATTCGCATCCACCCTTGCCCTCTTTGGGCAGCATTTTTTTCAGCCATTCATTTCTTCGAACATTTCCTTCTCTCTCTCTCTCTCACTCTCTCTTTCTCTCTCTCTATCCTCTTTCTCTTTTTTCTTTCTCATTCTCATTCTCTTCAACCGAGAAAGCTCTTCTGCTCGGTCTGTACAGTGGCTAGGGTTGCCGTCAACTTTTCGCCGAGACTGTACCACCCCACTGTTGTTAGGGGGGTGTGGGGAGACTAGGGGTGGTATATGATCGTGTATATACGTCGCGGGTAAAGTATTGTCCGCGCGCTCCGCCTCTCGATTTTATAGGAAAAATCGTTCGAACGTCGAAGATCATTGAAATTTGTTGGTTTAACTATATGAAAAAATCGGGAAAATTCGTCAGAGATGAGCCATCATTTTTGAAAATTTTCGAATGAAGGATTCGATCGGAGATAGATCATTGAAGATTTCTCTCTGGCTGTAGAATGCCGGACAAAACTCTCCCGGCCGATCGGAGTATATACGGCCAGGGGCGGCGGCGAGAGGGGCCAAGCTAAGGGGGAGCAGGGGGTACAATATGGGTTATCGAGGGGGCCCCACCCCCAGGGGAGAGCAGGGGCCCTCATTTTATTACCCAGGCTCCCATAGCGGTTCTCAACCTTCCGAGAAACTTGTCCCGTTTTCTACTGTCCTCTTTTTCCTTTGCTTTTCTCTCTCTCTCTCTCTCTCTCTCACTCTCTCTCTCTCTCTCTTTCTCCCTCTTTTTCTTTCTCTTTCAATTTTTATATCTAACTAGACTACCATCTTTCTTTCCATTAATTC